AATCACTTTGGTTTTCATGGGAGACTCAACTGAATCCCTCGTTTGTGATATTCTGCAACTGAATGTGCTGCACGCAGGCCGCCTCATGATTCAGTTGGCACGATATTCGAGATATCGCAGTATAATTTCATAAAGGAAACTACTCACAAGGTCGCCTGAAACCCCTCGACAGCCCACGACTGGTTTCGCCCTTCTTGGAGCTCAGAAACATCTCGATACGCAATGTAAGACGTCTTGCGCGGAGACATCCTAATTACAACTCGACCATTACCGCTGTGACGCCATATGATTGATCGCTAGGACTGTTCCCCATTGTTCAGATGTATCAAGTTTTATAAACCAATAGTGACGCACCCATTTTCGTCATTTGCGACATCTTTTTCCACATTTCCAGTATGATCGTATTTCCTCAAGGACCGATAGCTCCACGATCGACGCTGTGTGATAGACAATCTGGACGTGGAATGTTCTTGAATATCTGTGCACCCTTCCGATGTGCAACTGTCGTCTACAAGGAGACAGCGGCTGAAGTGCTTCTAGATCGTCCAACTTCGGGTAGGAGCAACAGAAAGGTTGACTTGGATAGGTTAGAACCTGCGGTCTTGTGGAGTGCACGCGTATTGCTTACAGAACCTCGCATCTGGTCGGTCAGCGGTCTGATTAGTACGGTATCCCACTCCTCCAGGTGGGCAGTTTGGAACGTGAACGGTGACTCGCTGCTTAGGAAATGAGACTGTCCTACCGCTGCTTTGCGATCAGGCTTTTGAGCTAGAGGATTCGGCTAAGGACCATAACTGTCCTCCTAACCAGGCTTGGCACCGACAGTACTTCACGCCGCGTAGTAAGAGGCCACATCGACACCATTTCCACTTTTTCGTTCCCCTCACTTCGTTGCCAACGCTCTCTTTGTAACCGTCTTCCTAAGGGTTGAGGGATTCTTTGACCGCTAGATTCGATACTTATGCTAAACTCGGTCAGCGCAACCAGAATAGTTACGCAAGTCCCCACCTAGGGTTCGTTTGGATACTAAACCACCCCTCCTTGCGCGCTGTGCTCATGATTTGTTCTCCATCTTTCAAGAAAAGCCATTAAACATCGGTCTCTTCTAGCTTCCAATTAAGGACTTCAGACGTTTCAGTTGGCTCCAATGCTGTAAATCACTGAACAGAAGGGTCATTTTAAGCGGACGTCCACTGGTAGCCAAGTACGTACACTTCATTTGACGTCCCACAAAACATTGTCCGTTTGCTCAAACCCTGATGGACTAAAGGTTCAACATTCTTGAAAATGGTTTTTACGACTCTGATCGTTTTGTTGAGGTTGCATAGGAACGGATAAATGGGTGTACCCAGGGCTACTGAAATTGTCGCCAACTGGAACCAGGACAAGAAGCTATCAACCACATATTGTACCTGTTCAACTTATTTGCGAAACAACCGAAACCGCTCGGCCACATTCGGACGGACCCCAAAAGTAGATGGGGTGCATCAGTAGCTAAGGTGGCGATCTCAGACGCCTATTTGGATCAAGGTCGCGCGCTTGTAGGCCACTGATTCACTATACGCAAGATGCTCATGCATTGATTTCGGGATCTAATGTGAAGCAAACCGATAATAATGACAGTTCGGTCGTGGCACCCTTTCGGTGCCTAACTAGCACAGCGGCCGAGATGCTGTCAAATCACCCTACTCTAAACGGGAGCAAACGAGATGCGTAGGTCGAGTTCCAACCACGGACCATCCAATCGGTAAGTCCGAACCATCTCGAGCTTAAAATAATTGAAACAAGCTACCAGGTCAATCCATATTTTGACCGGGACTCTTGCTTCAAATTTCCTCAGCTAAATATTTGCGCAAAAGATATCAAAGAACTCGAAACCCAAATACTGTGACTAAACGTTTGTGATCAGTGAACACTTGTTTTTGCCTATCCGTCTTTCTATCGAACAGGTGTTGTTTACTGATAACGGAAACGCATTCAAATACCGAAAACTTGGGGAAATACGCAGGGTGCTGAAAATGAAGGGTCTGAGGCTCATCGAGAGCAAGGACATCTTGTTGAGGATGGTGGCTTCTTCGCGAACAGTGTGGATTAGCTCCGGGCGAAAATAACATAACGCGACCGGGGGGCACCATAATTCAAATGAGTGGCACGGCTAAAGCTGAGCTCCTATCTGGTACAGACTTTATCCAATGTCGCAGAACAGGCAGTTCGTCTTCTCACCAAATGCGTTTTGAACCAGAATGTCTAGGATGAATGCTAACCCCCATAGTTGTTTGGAAAAAACGATAAAAATGCTTAAAAATGGTGATCCCGACGAACAGTAATTAACGCAGAATCATACGTACACACACAAAGAGGAACAGACAGGTCGAATGATAACCGGAGTGCAGTGACGACGATCCATCGAAAACGACCAAGGGCAAGAAACCGAAGGAGCCGCCGTCAGGTTGATCGTCGATTTAAATCGGGCGGCTGATAAGAAGCACACACATGGGGCCAGAGCAAAGAGCGACCAAGGATGAGACGAACTCAACGGATAAGATGCCAGAAAGAATGCGGGAACTGGATTAGTGTATGTGCGTGTGTGCGCAACGGAAATGTTGGCAAAGGATCTCAAAATGACAAAGTCAGTCGGAGCAAAGATACCAGGCTATTGAGGGGATTGGGTGGGGGGGGGAATGCGAGGTAACCAAAACCGGTAAGGTAATGGAAGCATGGAATTCAAGGAAGTAGACCACGCTACCTCTGAAGTCTAGCGCTGAGACAAACCAAGTGCACACACAGAGTGTCTGGCAGTAGGTCATCTTGGTTGGTTGGACTGGAGGAGTCGATCGACCGCGGCATTCACGTCTCCAAACGTTGCGATTAAAGCTGTGGTTTGGGGTGGATAAGAAGTAGTGAAGATTGAGTACAGGATGCAAAGACACGGAACAACATTGGTATTGATTACGGCATGTCGGCTGTGTTCAAACGACCGAATCGGTCAAATCAATTGGCAAAATTTTGGAGGCAACATGCACAAAAGGGAGAAAGATGATACCGCGAAAGAATAAATCAGAAATGATGAGTAGTACACCTGAACGGCACTCCCTGCACGAATCGATGTCCATATGAGGTGCTAGCAACAGACTATCCGAATAGCCCGTTCAACATTTAGTCATATGTTCCAATCAGATTGCGATTAAAGCTGTGGTTTGGGGTGGATAAAAAGTAGTGAAGATTGAGTACAGGATGCAAAGACACGGAGCAACATTGGTGTTGAATACGGCATGTCGGCTGTGTTCAAACGGCCGAATCGGTCAAATCAATTGGCAAAACTTTCGGAGGCAGCATGCACAAAAGAGAGAAAGATGATACCGCGAAAGAATAAATCAGAAATGATGAGTAGTACACCTGAACGGAATCGATGTCCATACACCTGAACGGCACTCCCTGCACGAATCGATGTCCATATGAGGTGCTAGCAACAGACTATCCGAATAGCCCGTTCAACATTTAGTCATATGTTCCAATCAGACCAATTCACATGAGGAAGCGAAAATTGAATAAAAATATCGTGTAACACACAGAGGATCTCTTACAGTTCCCATAACACAAAACATACGTGTTCTTGAAGACAACAATTCTACGGTGGGGAACGCGCATGAGATAGGTTGAGATTACTTGCGTTCTGGACTATTCATCGAAAATTTCTCCCTCAATGAAGCATCAGTGTCACTACTGATGCTGCTGTCTTGATGACGATATCTCCCCCATGATTTTCAAATGAAGTGGAATGCACGTTCAAACACGGTTCGAACCTGGGCGAGCACCTTGTCCATCCCTCCGTCAGAAGGTTACTTTGATCTTGCCCCACCTCAGCGACTCTATCTGAGGACTTGTAGCATAGCTACGCGAAGGTGTCACGTGTCCGCTAAATTGGCTACTTGCTTAAGCTGTTCTCCTTGAATTCTTTGGTGTTATTGGGAGATTTACCTCAATCTCCTGCTCTTGACACTTATAAGTAGGGTCTCCCGCCCGTATAACATTAGCGTTCAACAATGATGTTTGACTGGCCCACAACCATGATTTATTTAACCCAGTGGTAAGCGCGCGAATTTACTGACCAAAAGGTCCATGGTTGGAACCCGACCTCTGCCTCTCGACTCGCTTTATCTAGACTTGGGCAGCCTGATAGAATCCCAGCCCTCGTGCCTCCTGGTGGCATGGCAGTTAGGCACCGAAATGGTGCTACAGATGAACGATTTGAAAGTTTTATTATGAAGAAAAGAAAAAAGACGGACAGGGAAGGGACTTAGTTCTAGCTTACTACAATCATCCCGAGGTGCCTACACCTCCAGACACTCACACAGGCAATCTGGATGGAAACTGACAACAGGAACGCCAGTGACATCGATTGACAGCCATATCTTGCAGCGTTTCCTAGCAAGCACAATGGGGATCACGCGTTTCCCATCTTGGAAGGCGAGTACGACCGATAGCAATAGCAATCTCTCTCATACCCCTCTGCCAGGTCAAGGTTTGACCACCCGTCCACTTCCGCCATTCTGAATTGGGCACGGAGAACAGAACACTCTTCGACTAAGGATGGTTCGGCATACGCGACACATGTCCCAACCGACGCAGCTTCTGGTGCTGGACACGTTCCTCAGTGGAAGTTCGCGTTACGTAGTCGAAAATGACCTTTCTAATTGCTTTGTTACGGATTCACCGACAATCATCTACGACAGCAATCGTTCTTAGACAACGGTTGTCGAACACTTAAAGACTTTTCACTTCCGCAGCTCGAACAGGCCAGGTCTCACAGGCGTGCAAAACAGCCCGTACTGTAGAAGTTGAAGTTCCCGTTGCATAGTCTAAAAATAGCTTTCTACTTGCTTTGTTACGGAAGCAATGGCTCTTAGACAACGGTTGTCGAACACAGGCGTGCAAAACAGCCCGTACTGTAGCTTGACACACAAACTAGCGAACGCAATCCGGAGCTTTCAGATTCGTGCATCGAACATCGTGCCAACAGAAGCAGATGGCGGTCAGTGTGCAAGTCATTCTGTTGGAGAATATCACAAACCAGTAGTTTGGTTTGCAAATGACTGTTGTGTACATTTCAATGTTCAGTTAGAACACAAAAGCGCCTTCGAATGGGTTGCTGGTTGCCTCGGATATTTTTAGGTTTGATCTGGAAGGGCTCTTCATTCGAGGCACATCACACTGTCTTCATAGCGAATATTAAATCACATCCGGTTCACTCAAACTATCATTGAAGCCTACAAGGGAGCAATCGGAATGCAGAGGTTGGATTCGAACCATGGAATTTCCGATCAGTAAGTTAGCGCTTTAGCCACTGAATTATATCGAGAAAACCAGAGGAAACAGGAAGTAAATAACCTTGGAAAAACATGAAACCAGTTCCATGGGAAAGAATTCTGGCTGCTAGCCGCTGTGGAAGCTGTGCTGGATGGGGTTATCTTAGCTCCAACGAAGACACGCGAGCCCGAGAAAGCCTTTCCAAGGATGTTTTTGCAAGCTGACTAACACAACTGGAAACCAATGAACGGGTAATCTGGTTTGAACCATGGGGTACCTGTATGCAGTTAACTTCTAGCAAGTCCCAACAAGAATCTAAAGACTTATCGATGTGAAGTTAGGACGTCCCTAATCAAAGGCATCACTCTCTAGCTATTGCACACCCGCCCCCAAAGATGCATCGCCACCCGGCTATGCACCTCGTTCAGCTGCAGCACCCTTTCGGTGCCTAGCTGCCATGCCACACGAAGGAAGCACGAGGGCTGGGATACTGCCAGGTTACCCAAGCCTAGACAGGGGAAGTCGATAGGCGGAGGTCGGGTTCGAACCACGGACCTTCCAGGCAGTAAATTTGCGCTCTAACCACCTTGCCCATCTCGACCCCACTATGCACCTTGATTACTGATGAGGTCAAACTAAGCGAACAAATCAAACCTTGCTCGAAGTATCTTATCTCCGAATTCCAGTAGCTCCAGATTCCTACTGGGACACCTCAATATGAGGAAATCCCAGCTGTGAATTTTGGAAAGTGTTGAACAAACACTAGCCCAGCTTAGCACAACACAGTGAACTTCTTAAACTGTAGACACACCTTGCAAATTCGCCTCTCTGTTGATGAAACCCATGCTAGCCAGCATTTCCAGTTGGGAAGCATATCGATTCTCCGGAGGGACCTGTTTGAAAAAGAAAATAGGAATAAAGCAGTGCAGCAGTTTGTTCGCCAAGGCACCCAATAGTAATTCTTAAAGGGACAAAAGTAGTAATTCTTAAAGGGACATATGTCCACAGCTACCATGCGATTCATCCCACCACCTGAAGAGAAGCAAAATAGAATGATTCCCCATAATGGTTTCCCTTTGAGAAGCCTATTGTGTAGTAACAGATTCCAGAATCGGTCAGCGCTCCTGAGTCAATAAGTGCATATGCTACGAAGCTAAACGCAAAAAGACAAGATGAATCACCAGTTAGAAGAGATCACAACAGAAAAAAATGCTTTAAGACGGTTCCCAGTGAGACATGCTTTATTCTCCAAGTTAGGATGCACTACGAACTGATACTATCAGGGCACGGTGGGATATCCAAAAAACGTTCAACCGTAGCACCCTTTCGGTGCCTAACTGCCATGCCACCTGAGTTGCACGCGGGCTGGGATACTGCCAGGTTGCCTAAACCTAGACAGGGGAAGTTCAGAGGCAGAGGTCGTGTTCGAACCACGGACCTTCCGGTCAGTAAATTGGCGCTCTAACCACTTGGGCCACCTCGCCCATCTCCAACAGAGGAAGTTAGATGTTGGTATCGTGAAAACGCTGAGAGAATGGATCAATTTCCAGTATGTGAGATAACAAGGTGGGATCGCTAATTTGGGTTAAGTATTCATCTAGGACCATGCACAGGAAGCCCAAGAAGGAAGAGAGCTTGAAGGGACTTCATCAACAAGGCTCATAGATCCCCATACCAAAATGACCCGAGTTAGATTGAACAGTGCTAACGGTGAGATGATAGCCCGAACCACAATTGGTCATGCTGGCGAAGATAACTAAAGGTTTTTTGGGAGAAATTTTATTAAATACAGAGCAGGTAAATGGCTGTGCGTCCACCTTACCTGCACCCTAACTTCCACGGTCGAAGATAATGGTCTCCCACGATGTTAAACGGTTCACACTCCATGATATCTCTCAAAATAAGCTATAAAAATTCCCAGCCGAAACGACGGACTTCTGTTCATAGCAAATTGGCTGAAAAAATTTTTTTAACTAATAATCCCCTACAGATAAACGAAGAGATTTCGCTCAGCTGTGGTTCATCCGATGTCTGGCTGTCATACCACCAGAAAGAAGCACGAGGGATGAGATAGTGTCAGGTTGCTCGAGCCTAGACAAAAGCAGACAAGATGCCGGGGTTGGATTCGAACCACGAAACTTCTGGTGAGTAATCTTGTCTCGAACCAACATCTCCTAGTATCATCACTAATCGGTACTAATTACTAATCATTATGGTGATTAGCGTTGCTGCAACTGTCCTGTTAGGAAGAGCAACCTCCAGAGAACAGCGTGTCTCACCACTGACTTTCCTGTCTTGTGATGATGTCCCCCCCAGAGAACCAGCAGCATTAGGAGGTATGTACTCCGCATGCCACAGGACCGTCTGCCTCGCACAGCTCTTTCTGCATAGCCCTGTGATGAGTAGAAGCGACAGAGTAATGGACAGTGTATAACCTGGCAACGAAGTACGAAAACACTAATCAGTAACCTTAGTCGGGTCGAGAACTGCTGTCTCCCTGGATAGGGATCCGGGGACTCAACTCGTTCAGGGTTAGTGACACTGACAGAGATGGACGAATCACACATCCTGTAGCGTTGGTGCGTCACAGTATCGCCTTTAATGCACAGCTATGTCATCGCCTTCAAGACTTACCCGTATGCCCCACATTCTTCAAACATTCCGATGATCGAAACTGTAGCAGCTGGAGCCAAGGTGTTCAGCGTACATGGTTCACAGCTGATGAATTGACTGACTGACTGATTACTTAAGTGACAGTTCACTCACAAACAAAAAACGGTGTACAGGGTTTCAGCTGGGTAACCGGGAGAAGTAGGAACAGAGCGTCGATTGGACGAACTAGCTGGGAAACGAACGCCCTCAGTTGGTAGAACGTTGAGAGAAGAGAATCAAATGTCTATCGTTTCCTTCTCGACTTGGGTGCCACGTACTGACCCAGTGGAACGAGAAAAGTAGGCCGTTATATTGTTGGGAAACGAGGAGGGGGGTATCGCTGTGCGGCGATGGAACTTACTGTGCTGAGGGGATTGGCTTGAGATGATCGGAGTACATCAGCAAAGTTAGGAGTACTCCCTGAACCACCGGTTCCACCTGTACTTGACATCACATTCAACATACTTGCAAGCAGTGTGGCCAATTCCATCTGATTTACGGGGCCTGGAGTGGAAGAAGCGGCAGAGGTGGGGTCGCTGGTGGGTGCAGTCGCAGTGGTAGTTGTGGAGGTGGCAGAGTTGTCCGCAGCAGTGTCGGCAGTAGGAGACCCAGACACTGGGTTCGCACTGCTCACTGGGGCAACCATGCCCATGTCGGTCAACAGTCCAGGGGCCTCTTGTTCCAACGCCATCAGACCTTGTTGTATTTGCATTAGTGCCTGCAACAAAAAGCCAATTTCGTTAAATAATTATAGCCGAATGATTTCAAAATGATAAAATGTTCAGCAGCCACAGATCAAATGCGAAGCAACCCTCTGATGATCAATCGCGGTGATCACTACATCTCGAAGGCGTCCAAGCTAGTGTGCATGGTTAACGCAGTGTTAAGGTGTTTTCTACGTAATACTAGCATCTTTCTGAAACGACTGGACTTTCCAAGGCTACTGAGGTCGTGGTTCATGCCAGATGAATGGACACGAGGCCCAGGTTACCCAACTGTAGACAAGAACGGTTGTAAAGCCAGGATTGAATTTGAACTGCAGACGTCTCGTTTCTCTGTTGGTGCCTCAGCCTCCAATCACATTTAGCTACAGACATGTTAATGATCATATTTTTATCTTCTGGAATGCTCTCAGCATGAACGGCGTTTATTCTCAGAGGTTTGATCGGTTTGTACACTAACTTTCGCAGGAATTCACAGAAGTCATACAACCTGTGATTGTGATACTCGTGTAGTGGTGGAACACAGAGACATCGCTGGTGACTCATAGGAAACATCGAGTTGTTCGTGTGGGACAGATTCAATTCGAGAAACGAGCAAATAGGAGGTGAGATGCAATACATAGTGGTGAGCTATACACAGAGTGAGTGAGAAATTAATGGTCCATATGCTTCAGTTCTTCTTAGGGCACACATCTTTGGTGATGGCTATTCGGTATCCTTACGAACAAACGTCCACCTAAAATAAACCGACTGTATAGTCAAATGAATAGACAAATCGAAATTATCAATAAAGATTGCGACCAGTGATTGAAACCAATCTCTGCTGGAAAGCCGAGAACTGAACAGCTGTTTCAACCTTATTGGAAATCCTCAACAGAGCGCATTCTACCAAACTCAAGAGGTTCCGACCAACGACATTCTGGCTAGTAGCTGAAGGTTTAGGCACTTGGGCAGGACGTGGCGCCAAGCATCCTTTCAACAGAGATTCCGACTGAGAAGCCTTACTCGACGAGGCAGTCAACAAGTGACCGTGCAATGTGGATTCTACGGTTCAAGGCTGGCTTACAGGATAAAAACTCCTCCATTATCAAAAAATAGCTAAATAAAGGCAACAGAAGCGACTCCCACCAAATAAAGCAATCAAGATAATAAAAGTGCAAAAAAGCCTGGCTACGAATGCGCATGTTTCTTTCTACAATGCTGAGGGGACAACTAACAGTCAGATTTGATAATGATTCACTCCATTTCCATTGCGATTTTTCGGAACGCACGGATATTTAGGAAAAAAGGCTGGCCGTGGTAACCAAAGGGCCAGAATTATTACATATTGTTCCGAACGTCACCGAGACGTGTACAGGCACTACAGATTTGTGATCAATCATTGTGACTTGAACCATGTAAAACTCTTGATGCACTGTGGGGCCGTTCCTTGGAGACGCTAATTCTTGTTATATATATATACCACATCAAAGAGTGTGGTAAACTGAACAAAAACCCAGGGAAAACTAGGAGTTTACCTGAAGGGCACGTGGATTGCGCATCATGTTGACAAAACCAGGCTGATTGATTCGGCTGGCCAGTTGAGGGACCATTTGTCGCATTCGATCTCGCACACTTGGATCAACGCTAGCAACCATGGGATTACTCATTAACAAATTCTCCATTACTGTTGGGTCTGCGCTCATGGCTTCCAGCATTGCTTGCACATAAGGAACCTGTGAGTTGTGGTTAGATAAGAAACACGGGAAAACCGGTTACATTTGGAGGGAACAGAAAAAACAAACAGGGACTTGGAGCAGAGTGACGTGATTTACGCCGGCTATTTCAAGTTGAATACTTGGGGAACGTCTTCGTATGAAACGGGCACTCAGTCACTTTTCTTTATTGGGCGTCTCAGTGAGTTGTTTTGAAAAAATCCCATGGGCCAAAATAAACTAACTCTTTTGTTCAACCGTATAGTCAATTCTCCCTTTGTCTACCGACGTTCTAGGTAATGGCTTCCTCCAATGGGACCAGATGTTGCGTACAACCACGTGTTCTAACACGATCGATTAAGCTCGGCTTTTTGGGACCATGCCTAGCTGCCATGCCACCCGAAGAGAGCTCGAGAGCTGTTGGAGTCTAGACAGGAGCAGTCGAGATGCAGAGGTTGGGTTGAAACCAAGGTCTATCCAGGCGCAATGTTCTCGCCTTAACCACTGAGCTTTATCGAGCTCGAATCGATTGACTTTTTCACCTCAGGAACAAAACGCAATAACCGAAGCGTATCGTTCAGCTTGTAGTAACGGTATTTTCCTCAGCTTAGTTCTCGGTCTGAGCCTCCCAAGCTAGCGTTCACGTCAAAACAACCACCAAAGGTGCAC